TCTTTTATTCATGCTATAACTGTATTATCCGGAAATCGTAATACACGTGTGAATACATAGACCACAATCTGTCCCTGGTGAGCGTCTAGTTGACTAGCTCGTTGTGATCAACAAATAGTCATGGTTTCCTAGCTATGGACATTGGATGTCGTTGATAACGGGATCACATCATTAGGAGAATGATGTGATGGACAAGACCCAATCCTAAGCCTAGCACAAAGATCGTGTAGTTCGTATGCTAAAGCTTTTCTAATGTCAAGTATCTTTTCCTTAGACCATGAGATTGTGCAACTCCCGGATACCGTAGGAATGCTTTGGGTGTACCAAATGTCACAACATAACTGGGTGGCTATAAAGGTGCATTACAGGTATCTCCGAAAGTGTCTGTTGGGTTGGCACGAATCGAGACTGGGATTTGTCACTCCGTGTAAACGGAGAGGTATCTCTGGGCCCACTCGGTAGGACATCATCATAATGTGCACAATGCGACCAAGGGGTTGATCACGGGATGATGTGTTACGGAACGAGTAAAGAGACTTGCCTGTAACGAGATTGAACAAGGTATCGGGATACCGACGATCGAATCTCGGGCAAGTATCGTCCCGATAGACAAAGGGAATTGTATACAGGATCGATTGAGTCCTTGACATCGTGGTTCATCCGATGAGATCATCGTGGAACATGTGGGAGCCAACATGGGTATCCAGATCCCGCTGTTGGTTATTGACGGAGAGTCATCTCCGTCATGTCTGCATGTCTCCCGAACCCGTAGGGTCTACACACTTAAGGTTCGATGACGCTAGGGTTATAAAGGAAGCTTGTATGTGGTTACTGAATGTTGTTCGGAGTCCCGGATGAGATCCCGTACGTCACGAGGAGTTCCGGAATGGTCCGGAGGTAAAGATTTATATATAGGAAGTCCTATTTCGGCCATCGGGACAAGTTTCGGGGTCATCGGTATTGTACCGGGACCACCGGAAGGGTCCCGGGGGCCCACCGGGTGGGGCCACCTATCCCGGAGGGTCCCATGGGCTGAAGTGGGAAGGGATCCAGCCCAAAGTGGGCTGGGGCGCCACTTCCCTCATGGCCCATGCGCTTAGGGTGAAGGGGGAACCCTAAGGAAGAGTCCTAGGAGGGGAAGGCACCTCCTAGGTGCCTTGGGGGGAGGGAATCCTCCCTTGGCCGCCGCCCCTTTCCCATCTAGGGCTGCCGCACCCCCTAGGGTGGGAACCCTAGAGGGGGAGCACCCTCCTCCCTCTCCCCTATATATAGTGAGGCCTGGGGCTGCCCATAACACGTGATTCGATCTCTGCCTGTTGGTGCAGCCCTCCCTCTCTTTCTCCTCATATCCAGTGGTGCTTGGCGAAGCCCTGCGGGATTGCCACGCTCCTCCACCACCACCACGCCGTTGTGCTGCTGCTGGATGGAGTCTTCCTCAACCTCTCGCTCTCTCCTTGCTGGATCAAGGCGTGGGAGACGTCATCGTGCTGTACGTGTGTTGAACGCGGAGGTGTCGTCCGTTCGGCACTTGGTCATCGGTGATTTGAATCACGACGAGTACGACTCCATCAACCCCGTTCTCTTGAACGCTTCCGCTTAGCGATCTACAAGGGTATGTAGATGCACTCTCCTTCCCCTCGTTGCTGGTTTCTCCATAGATAGATCTTGGTGACATGTAGGAAAAATTTGAATTTCTGCTACGTTCCCCTACAGTCGGGAGATGGCGGCGGCGGCGGCGCTGGTCGAGAAGGGGAGAAAGAAAGATGTGGAGTGGTCGAGACGGGGAGAAAGAAAAATTTGGTACATGTGGTGGCACAGTTGTGTGGATGACAAGGGGACCCACTTGTGAGACCGATAGCAATTGATGGCAAACCGCAGGAGGTGCATGACCACCAAGTCCACACGTGGAATGGGGACGGCCGGGTGGGTGTGTCAAGTCAAATCGGCACCCGCGGCTTCTCGGTAACTCCAAGAGGTAGGAGCAGTGCATTTCTTCCCCAAATCGGCTCAGATCAAGCTTTGTACTGATGATGCATTAGATATTGCAATAAGTAGAGGATGCTCATGATTGCCAAAAGTACCTATTTCCACTTTCTGATAAGAACTAAACGTGTATCAGAATGATGCTAATAGTAGAGCATGAGCATGTATCAATTGATGCTACCTATTTGTGTTTAAATGGGCTCAATAAAGCTGGTGCTGGTTTATGCTCTCTGCGTGACCGTGATGGTAACGAAGACACTTGCTTGGCTATGGTCTTGCTGTCAAATTTAAGTTTCTGTTCTTTAAGACTCTTTGTTTTTGCTGCTTCGTCGGGATCGACTAGCTTTCTCGGGCGTCCATGTGCTCTCTTCCTTTTCGGGGAGTTGGGTGCACCACTTTTGGGGGAGTTGGGTGCACCGGTATCCTTCTGGGAGTTGGATGTGTAGGGTTCGTTGGAACCATCAGGATTGTTGACTAATTGTACGTCGTCTTCTGAACCATCAGGTAGAACTGCTTGCTGGGCATCGTACACCTCCTTCTGTATAAGAGAGAGTGTTGCGTTAGTTCTAATCATGAGACTTATGAAAATAAATGATATATTCTTGATGTAGAGCTAACCGTTATGGGGAACTTATATGATTCGAGACGAAGCGCATTGCAATTTGAATGCAGTAAGGCTGTACATATTTTCCACTTGAAAATATCTATCCTTGCCTATATTTGATAACCGACACTTACGTCAGCATAGCTTTCAAGCTAAACAAAGTACAAATTTAAATTAGGCATTCAATTACCTGGTTCAAAATATCGGTCATTTCATCCCCGTTCCATGACAACATGTACTGCAGTGTCCAAACTGCACAGGAAGTCCTGCGATGTTTAGTTAAAGATCAGTAATCTTATTCGTGTAGGCAAATAATAATTTATGAGGCCATGCGTACCCATCGGTCTGTTGTGGTATGTACTCATAGCGTTTTTTGGTCCATTCGGCAAAATTGATGTTCTTAGCTGGTGATATCAACCCATTCTTGACAGCTTCGTCGATGCAGCACTGAATCGAGTCAACCTAGGGTACGACGAGTTATACATAGGGTTATGGTACTTTGGGAGCTCATGTGCCATGCAGATCAAAAGAGGCAGCAAGAGAACACTTACAAGAGAATCTTCCTTGATCTTGTCGCAATGATAATTCATGGAGTTCAGAGTCTGAATTTCTTTTTTGTCAAAATTAAACATTATTACCATCCAATGGTTTTGGTGTACATTCAGTGGGACATGCACCTGTAGTAAAATTTGGGTTGGGTTGAGAACCGAAATTTGTTGTGTACAGTGTGTACATAAACTATGAAAGTGAGGAAAATGTGTACCTTTCGGCGCCCTACAAATTTTTCTGCTACACAAGCTAACCATGAGGCTGCACGTCCAACAGGAACCACCCCCTTCATTTGTAACAGCTTTTCGGTTTCTTGAGGGGATATGATTGAGGTAGTATCATTCTCAATTTGGCTAATGTGAGCATATGCCATAATAACCTGCCAAATTTTCAATCATACAATAATAAGACAGTTGTTGCAGTAATGAGGTAGAATAGAGTATAATGGGCTTACATCACCATAAATGTATTTGTCGTCCAAATCTCGCTTCAGATTTTCTGCTGTGAGGGTAATGTCTCCGATTTTAGCTATTTCAACAGGGTCGTATGTTCCGCGAATGTAAACGGCTGTCTCTATGTCCTCATCCGTGAACTTGTAATCATTACCAAAGACATGCTTCATCGGAGTTAATTGTGGTTCCTCGTTGTTTTTTCCGTCACATGTCTTGCACTTGGTGTACTCGAAGTCCCTGCCATGAATTGGCTAGCCCTAGGAGTTCTTATCAGGGATGAATTGCACACATCGACTTGATCCTACAATGAACAAAGGTAGTTCATCATTAGTTTGTTACTTTTAGATATTAACGTGTTCGGCCATATTGATCACCTGCACGCCTCCTTTTTGTGACACTGTTTGTCGGTTGCTTGTAAATTCGTATTTTATTTCCTGTAACAATGCAAACAATAATGAACATGAAGGAACATATTCATACAAAATACAACATGCACAGTATGACATACATGGAGTTCCCTCCTTAAGTCTTTAATTTCGTCCTCGGCCTTCGACAACCTAGGATTAGTGCCATTTTTAGTCTTCATGTCGATCAACTCTTCACCTAGCGTCTGGTATTTGATATCAAATTTGTGCTCAATTTCCATTAACTTCCTGCCTATTCTTTTCATGATCAGCAATGCGTGCATTCATGGCTTCAATTACCATTTCAATCTGTGTAAATAAAATACAACCCCGTTGATAACAATAGCTAAATGAATGAGGTTCCATGACACTTATTTGTGATATTGCAAAAACAAATAGTCTTTGGAGTACATACTTGCTGGCTACTAAATTGTTGTCCTTGTGATGGTGCTCGATACGAATCATGTTGATGCACATGTTCATCAATTTTTCTTGGAAAATTATTTTAATTCTCGGACGGTCGTTGAGGAGCACAAATTTCTAGGACAGCCTTTTTTTATCAAATATAATGAACCATTAGTACCAAATAAAAAATCGGATATAGAAAGTTCAATTGTAGATAGGTACCAGCCCGTTATGAAGACCTCCTTTCTCGTAAGAATCGCTTCTTAAAGTAGCCATCATTTCGTCCCATCGTGCGATCAATGGAGGGGGTCTAGAAGCATACATCAATCGGCCACTACGCACGTGCTCCCAGTACCAATACTACACAATAAATTAGTTCATCACCATACAGATATGCAACAGAACAATAATTAAAGGACATTAAGTAGTGATCTAGCACTAACCTGGAGCAGGATTAGATTTCCTTGTAGATTTACGTGATCTCGATTTCTAAACTTGTGAACGGACTTGAAGAAGTGATTAAGTGTGAAACATCCCCAGTTAAATTTTCCGAAGGTTTTCAAGATCTGTAACAAGGCTGAGAAATTTCGAGTCCACATAATGTTATGCTGTTGGTGCTAGAACAGTACCAATTGCATACAGAATGAACCGTCTCAGGAAATCGCCATCTGGGGCTTTGGAAGCTCGGATCGCCATTTCAAGGTCAGAAATCAAAACTTGCCCATTGTTTGCATAGGCGGTAAACAATTCTGTGTCGGTTTGCATTTCCAGATGTGGCTCTATATCCTCCCCTTCTATCGGAATGCCAAATATACACTGCACGTCCTCTTTTGTTATAGGAATTGGCGTTTTACTAATGGTAATGGATTGCGTGTCCATATCTATGCTCTTGGCTAGTCTAACCAACATTATGCGCCGTAGAGTCACTTCATGCATCTGGGTTAGACAACCAAGACTAGTTTCTGATATGATGTACTTTTTGTGGTCTGGTGACAACAGTTTCATGGTTTTTCCGAACCTTGTCTGTGAGCATACTAACTTCATATGACAATGCTTTTCGGTGAGTTCTTGTTACATGTCATTAAATTATACTGAGTACACATGAATTATGTGTACGAAATGATTGCACACAAACAGTCAAGTACTTACCGCATCGGTAATTTCGGAGATGGGCTTTTCTCCATTATGAAGGTTTGTATCTGAAACTGACATTGCTGGCTCATATGCAATGATAAAATCTGGCTCAATTAATCTAAACAAAATTGGAAAATGTATAACAAAATTAGCAACGAATTAATTTTAACAAAATTAACTGGGTCATTTAACATATGATCCACTTATGGGTTTAAGCACAAAACCTATTTGGGTGCAAAATCTATGAGGGTTCAACTACTAAAGGAGCGGCCGACAACGATTATAAAGAGTTACAATCAGGTAATACCTTATCTCGGAGACGGTGCCGCCGAGTAGATGGCGGCGGTTAGAGCGTCGCAAACTATAAGTGCCGGTATAGCACGGTCGACGACACAAAGGAAAAATGGCGCATTCACGCCAGGGGGAGGCGGCAAGAAGAACACTGACGTCCGACCCCTCAGATCACGTTGGCGGTGGGCGGCGAGTGGTGGCCGCCGACTCCTGTATTCCGTGGGCGACCGGCGTCTCCGATCTGATCTTGCAGCGGTTGTGGGAGGTGCAGACGGCCCGGGTGGTTAGAATGTGGAGCTGTAATCACGGGATTTAGGGAGGGGTGGGCCGCGTGATTTATGTGAGATTTGGATAAATGATATAAAAAAATAAGAAAATCT